ATGTGGAATCTAAAAAAAAAATAATAAATAAATACAAAACAGAAACAGACTCATAGACATAGAATACAAACTTGTGGTTGCCAAGGGAGCAGGGGGTGGGAAGGGACAGACTGGGATTTCAAAATTTGTGTATACTGACAGGTATATGCAGAATAGATAAACAAGATTATACTGTATTGCACAGGGAAATATATACAAGATCTTGTGATAGCTCACAGTGAAAAAAATATGTGACAATGAATATATGTATGTTCATGTGTAACTGAAAAATTGTGCTTTACACTGGAATTTGACACAACATTGTAAAATGACTATAACAATAAAAAAGTAAATAAATAAAATGGGGAAAGGCTTAAAAAAAAGAATTAGTGGTAGGAATGCGTTGTTTTAATGAAGCACCTCGAATTATGTTTATCACAGTGAACTTTGAAGGCAGCTATGTGAGAGATCTGAGAGCTATCCTGTCCTGCATTGTAGACAATAACCGCGTAGAGCTATTTAAATTTCATTACATTAAATGCAATTAAAAATTCAGTTCCTCAGTAACTGATAACCTAATTTTACTTGTTTAATGGTCACATTTGACTATTCTAATGGATGGACAGTGTAGATGTAGAACAGTGCCTTTGTCACAGAAAGTCCTGTGCACACTACTACTCCAGAGCGAGGCATATTCCACAGGGATCTATGAACTGTAGGAGCCCACACTGAACTTCAGTATGTTTTTGAAATAATAAAATTCTGTCTATAACAGTAGTTAGTCCTTTTAAAAAATTTGTGAGTATTATTTCATTTTATGAATATTCTATAGTTGATTCATGCTCTTATTAATGGGCATTTGAGTTGTCTGCAGTGTTTGGCTGTTATAAATAAATATTTGAAATACTATTGTATCATTACAAATGGCATAGACTTATTAATGTTTCCTGTTTTAACTCTTGAAATTACTACAAGTGATTTTGTCAGATAATTAATATATTGTTGCAGTAAAATATTTTTACTTTAATTAACAGGGTCGTTTGCATCCAAAGTTCGAGTACTTTAATGTATTGTCTGTAATAAGTTTATGAAACTTGAAAAATGAAAATGAATCCAAAAAGTAACACAATCGATTAATTTTCAAAAATAGCTCTGTTGGTATGTGGAAAATGATGAATATTTCAGAAAAAGTAATGCTGCTTTAGTAACTTAAAAAGCTTCCAGTTCCCACTGATTATTAAGTTTTGAGTGTAGAAACGTATTTTTATGTTTTAGAATTAATACATCCTGTGAAGTGGTAACACACTTTGCATTTTTCTTGGGCTATATGTTTAAGAAATCTAAAAGGTTTTGTAAATTTTTTTTAAATTTCTTTTAACTTGATAAAAGTTCATAACATTAATTACATTCTACAGTTGGATTCTACAGTTGGAAAATTGGTATCTTTAGAGATGATACATACTTACCTTTTCTTTGATAAATGACTTTCCACAAACATTTTTACTCTAAATAAATGGACACATCTGAGGGTTGTATTTTCTCCTAATCCAGGGTTTACTTGCAAAGCAATTACTATCTTCTGCACTGCCATTGCAGTTCACCTATATAAATACTTACAAAAGAAAAATAGTGACGTCCTGCATGCAGTTGTGAAGAATCGAAAAGTAAAAAAGAAGGAAAGAACTGATTTATAACTGGATCATCATTGTGTAAGAATTACACATTGTCAATCTATCAATGGGATATTATTAAATAATAAACATTAATAAAATCTAAAATAATTATAACTACATGTTTAGTAATTGAATATAATTCATATGATCCTATAAGCTTTATTATATTTTGAGTGCAAATAGAATAATATCGTCTCTATTTTGTATTTTTAAAAGATAAACATATACATTTAATACTTTGAAAGAAGATGAAGTGGAATTGGGAAAATGCACATAGGTTAATTCTGATTGCAATGATATATATTAGTTATTGGTCTTGGTTATGTAGTATTACTTAGGTTTCACGTAGTTTACTCTTGTGTCTTTTCATTTGGTCTGTGGAGGTTTATTTCTCAATATTTTTTCAAAATAAAATTAGGTGTGCCAATCCAGTTCATATAATAAAAATTTGTATTTAAGGCCATATTTATTCTCCAAAAGAAGACTATTTTAAAACCATTTAAAATTAACATTTATCTTTTATTTGATGATGGAGAGGTTTCCTCAGAAAATTTCTTTGGTCAGTTGGCCAGTTTGCAATACATATTTTCATGCTTTTTTAATTTTAGTGGACAGAAATTCAATATGATCATATACATCTCTTGTTACCTTGACTCGAATTTTATTGAAGAGACTACCTGGTACCTAAATTGATATCCATTTTGTGCTTTATATTTAATTTTATGATTAATCATAATTTTTCACTTGAAGAAATATTCAAATTTGAATGCAGAATGTGTGAACCATTTGTAGAATTTTTCTTAAGTTGAAATGTATGTCTATAGAAAATTGTTGATATAATTGTTTCATACATTATTGTATATCTATCCAAATCATACACCGATTTTCCAAATACCAAGATAAAAATCAGATTCTTATGAAGCAAAAACTTCTCTACAATGTTTCTTTTGTTCTCTTGGGAGAAGGAACAATTGACAAAATTTCCCCTTTGTTAACTCACATTAGTCAATGACCCTGTGTGTAAGGGCAGGCATTGCCCTGTTCATGGTCTTGGCTGGCAGAAGGAAATGTGAAGCAAGGAGTATTCATGTCTTACTATATTTTTTTGTCCTTAACTTCAACATATATTTATGAAAATTTATAAACTAGTCTTTATTTGAAACTCAACTTGACTGCTTGGTTTTTCTCCATTTGAACCAGCAGGATGGTGGAATATCTGAGGATCAGAGTGTAAAACCAGGAGTTTTTCCTTTAAAGATTCTACAAGATCTGTTGGTGTGCCCTACATTCAGAAAAGGAATATCACACATGATATTTACCAAAGTAGCCACGTGTATCTGTGGTGATCTGTATTTTCAAAATAAAGTGCATTCTTGTAAAGCATTTCTCATATGTTTTTAATGTTCATAGGACTTTAAATATCAATGTACAATATAGGTTTTTCTAGAATTGAAGATTAATAATTTTAGGTGATTTATATTTTCTTAATATTCCACTGTCTAAAATTATTATTTGAAAATTTATACAACTGGAAAGTAAGGTAAGACAAAAACATTTAAATCCATTTTGAAGGTGCTTATAGTATGTGTCTGTGTATATGCATCAATATCTATGTATTTTTCAGAAAATAAACCAGTAAAGGTATAATAAAAATTATAATAATTTGGAGAGTAGTCTTAAGACTTAAATTTGAATATAATGTTCTGCTATGACAGAACATGTGTTTCAATGTCACTAACTAGTTCATAGAAGATTGATAGAGAAACAATACAATTATAGCCCAGAAATCACATTGCTTAACACCAATTTAGTAGCTTTTAGAACAGTCAGTGGAAGCTTTCTCACTAATAAAGAGAAGAACTTAGCAATAAATGAAGTCTTAAGGGAAAAACAGCTAAAAATCCTGTCGAAGTACCTTTCTTTGGAGTTAGCTTTGACTGATTTAACACTATCTGGAATCTTTATAATTTCTACAGTGTTACTGTATCCAGTAAGCTGCAAGTACAAATGGAGAAGCTGCAAAAACATTTTTAAATATTAGATTTTTAATTTTTGATGGAAGTGTTCTCTTTTGAGAATTCATGCCCTCAAGGAGCTACATCTCAAAGGAGAGAGGTGAGTCCCAGCATTTAAACCTGCAGAAGATTGAATGTGATGCTTGGTAAAAATGCTGTGGAGATTTAGCTGTGCTAGGATTTATTAAGATTGTGATTGTTTTTGTTAGGACAATGGTTACAAAGTTGCATAGGTTTTTTAATGGTTTACTCTACAATATTTTTTCCATAAGCTTAGTTATTTCTGGCGCTTGATTTTGCCTAAAGGGACATTTTAAAAGAAAGCATACTTAGTATTACAAGCAGAAATGCTTATGCTATAGAATTGGTGAGAGTTTATTTGTGCTCTTCAAATTGCATTTTCTCCAAAGTCTTAAAATAATAACTACAAATATCCTAGTTCCTCAATCTTTTTCTTTTCTGGATTCTCACTTATATTGGATTGAAGTTTTCCTGCTTTTAACATTGAGCATTTAATCTTACATATATAACCTCAAAAAGTATTGTTTTGATTTATTAATACCATACTTTCCCTTTCAGCACTAAGAGGTTACTCTCCTTTTTCCCTTTTTAAGATATAATTGACATGCAGCACTGTATAAGGTGTGTAGCATAATGCCTTGAGTTACATATATTGTGAAATGATTACCACAATAAGTTTAGTTGATATTTGTCATCTAATGTAGATGAGAAAGGAAGAAAGAGAGAAATAGAGACCAAAAAAAGAAAGGTAGGAAGAAAGAAAAAGAAAATGTTTTTTCCTTGTGACGAGAACCCTTAGGATCTTCTCTCTTAACTTTCAAATATACCCTACAGCAGTGTTACTATAGTCATCATATTGTACATCTCATCCCCAGTACTTGTTTATCTTATAACTGAAAGTTTGTGTATTTGACCACCTTCATTGAATTCCCCCGCCCTCAACCCCTGCCCCTGATCAACACGAATCTGATCTTTTTTCTATGAGTTCATTTTGTTTCATTTGTTTTAAATCCCACATACAAGTGGTAACATTAAGTGTTTGTCTTTCTGTGTCTGACTTATTTCACTTAAGCATAATACCCTCTAGATCTTTTCATGTTGTTGCAAATGGCAGAATTTCATTTTTTAGGATTGAGTAATACTTCATGGTGTGTGTGTGTGTGTGTGTGTGTACACACATCTTCTTTACTCATTTACTGTTGCAAACCTCGGTTGCTTTCCATATCTTGGCTATTGTAAATAATACTGCTGTGAACATTGGGGTGCAGTTATCTTTTCAAAGTAGTATTTTTGGTTTCTTTGGATATATACCAAAAAGTGGATTTACTGGATTATGTGTTCTATTTTTAGTTTTTTAGTTTTTTTTTAGAAATCTCCATACTGTTTTTGGTATTGGCTACACCGAATTACATTCCTACCAACAGTGTAGGAAGGTTCCCTTTTCTCCACACCTTCCCCAGCATTTATCGTTTGTGGACTTTTGAATGATGGCCATTCTGATTGGTGTGAGGTGATACCCTCATTGTGGTTTTGATTTGCGTTTCTCTGATAATTAACGATATTGAGCACTTTTTCATGTGCTGGCTTATATATTTTGATACAGAGTGTTACCATTTATTAATATGTGGAAAGTAGGTGGAGTAGAGGATTTAGAATAAAAGATGAGTTCGGTTTTAGATATATTAAGCTTGAAGTACTAACGAGGCAGCTAACTGCCTTTTGGCGATTGAAAACACAGATCCAAAGCTGAAGAGAGAGATCTCAACTAAAGCCATAATTGGAGATCATCAATATAAAAATTATTATTAGATCTATGGAAAAAAGATAAATTTGCCCAAGAAAAAAAAAAGCCTACTACAAACAAATTTTGAAGACTGTGATGTGTAAGAAACGGCTAGAGCAAGAGACTGAGAAGAAGAAAAAAAACCAGGGGTGAAATCAATACAGTAAAATGCAAGGTAAGAGTAGATGAAGATGATGAGCATAGTCACAATTGTCAGATGTTGCTGAGAAGTCAGAGGAAATAAGCAATGAATGTTCCTACTGGATTTAGCAACAGAATTTGTTGGAAACCGGAATGAAAGAAATTTCAAAGGAATTGTAGGAGCAGAAGTGAAATGCGGTAGATTAAGGAATGTATTGGAGATGAGTAACTGGACACATTAAATGTAAACAACTTCTTCCCTAAGTATGGGTGTGAACAGAAGATATAAGCCAGTAGATGGCTGGAATGCTAAGGTTTGTCAAGGGTGGTAGATGGGGTGTTTGCTATTAGTGTTGTGATGGGTGGCTTGTGTATATGTTCAGAGGCTGGTAAGAAGGAGCAAGTAGAAGGAGACTGTGGTCTTAAGAGCAAGAATATAATTAATAGAGTAGATTACTCAGAGCTAGATTACTCAGGAGAGGAGAGGATGGATTTCTAAACACAGGAAGAAAGATTAGCTACAGTAAAAAGAAAAGGCTTCCTTTGCAACAGAGGCCACAAAGGAAAGGATGGATGCAACTTCAGGTAATTTTGTAGGTGTAGTGGCTGCAACTTGAGAGAATTCCTCAAACCACATGATCTTCTGAATGTGTCTCTTTGTCCTTACATGCCCTAATCTTTGCAATGTGCGTTCTGTTATGTATTCAGCATGATACCTCTCTAACTGGTCTCTTGGCCTTTTTTTCATCTAACCCACTCTCTTCCCTGATGTGAAAGGAATCTTTGTAAAATGCCAATCTGATTAGGTTACACAATGAGTTGTAAGTGTTTACCTACCTGGCTCTTTTCTAGATTATGAGCCTTTGAATCGAAGTATTGTGTTGTTCATTACTCTGTTCCACTTTTTTATGGAATGAATGCCTAGTGACTTTATCTTTAATGCCATTGGCACCAAAGTCTTTGTTTTTAATAGAGATTGTCGGCTGATAGATTGCTAAATACTCAGAGATTGTCGGGTGATAGATTGCTAAATACTCATGTAAAATCTTCTGTGGGACTTAGAGAATTCATAGTTAAGATCTTAAGGGCTTTCTTCAAAGCCACTTCCCAACTTGCTCCAGCCCTCCTTCACTTGGATGTCTCCTATTGAAAAACCCGTTTTATCAAAGTTTGTTCAATTGTAGGTTGAATTCTTTCCCCTCCAAAAGGTATTCTAAAGTCCTAACCCTTAGTACCTGTAACTGGGACATTTGGAAACAGAATCTTTGAAGATGAAGTCAAGTTAAAATGAGATTGTACTGGAATAGTGTGGGCCCTAATCTGATGACTGGCGTCCGTATAAGAAGAGGGAAATTTGTACATAGAACGTTAGGGGAGAACACCGTGCGAAGAGTAAGCCAGAGCCTGGAGTGATACCTCTATAAACCAGAGAGTACTGAGGGTCGTAGCTGGAAGAGGAAAGGAAGTGTTCTTTCCTAGGGCCTTTGGAGGAAGCATAGCCCTGCTGATAGCTTGAATTTGGACTTCCAGCCTCTGGAACTGTGAGAGTCTAAATTTATGTTGTTTTAAGCCACCTAGTTTAGGTTACTTTGTTATCCCAGCCCAAGAAAATGAACTCTTTTCTCTCTTTCTATATATTATTTTTTTCTTTCCCTGCTTAAATTTATTTCAAGAATCTTATGAAAATTCCAACTAGATAAATATTCTCACTTCTTTAGTGAAAGTTTTTCAACTCTCATCCATCCATGAAGCTACGTTTTCTAACTACCATGTACAATGCATAGAACAACACTGCCCTAACTTTATTATCTTTAGAAGAAAAGAAAAATGCCTTTGCTTTTTAATTTCCTCTTTCCTCTATGACTTGTTTTCTTTTTAATGTCAGTGTTGTTGTCTGACTAAGAAGAAAAATTCTAAATGACATTAATCTGTTTAAGTTTCTATGAAATAACATTTAGGCAACAACAGTGACTAAGTAGGTGTTAGGAAAGTTTTGCCTCCAGACGTGGACCTCTGCCGCCAGACATAAGAAGTCTCACAGGAGAAAAGTCTCCATGCGAAATGATTTCGGGAAGATCACACACAAAAAATAAAAACTAAAATGTTCCAACTCTAAAGCTGCCTCGCTACTAACAAGAGAGTTACTTGGGATTTTGTTTTCGAAATAACACAGGTATACTTCTTTTACTCTCTACTGAACCTGGAGAAAACAATAAGGCACGTTAGCATTCTTTTAAACATACTTTATCACCAAAGTCAGCAAAAATATAACCTCTTTTCTGTAGTAAACATTTAGGATGTAGCGGAGCAAACAAATCTAATTTTTAAACCAATTGCAATGGGTACATTTATCTCAATTTATGTAAAAGTATTTCAAAAGAGTGTATGTAAAATTGAACTTTTGCATTATGAGCTGACAG